CCATGGCATCCTTTCATTAAATGTTTAGCTTAATGTAATTATCACTTACATGTTTGAGTTATTGTTATTCATGGCACTGGTGTGGAATCTTGAATCTACATGCTTTAATGTAAATATATAAATGAATGGTTTCATTGGGTATGAAATCACATTAGATGTAGAACTTAACAAACAAAAAGAATGTTCCTTTGTTAGCTCTGTGTATCCTGCAAAACTTGTTATTCACCTCACTGGCTATTAAAAATAGTTAAACTATATCTTCAGAACACACATTGTTACTGTGTTAGAATAGAACCAGAAAGAGCCAGGTTCAAGTCTAGCTTCAGTCACAGAGTCACTGGATAACTAGGGCCAATCTAATTCAGCCTAGCCTCCCACACAATTTAGGATGGTTGTTGAAAGAAAATAATATTAGAAAAGTAAGTTGATATCACTGTCTGCCAAACTAGTTTTTCAGGATGAACTAGTGTATTAAATAGTTTAATTAATATCTTCTAAATTTGACAAAGTAAGTTATAGTACTGAGTTACAAATGAAATAATTGTATTAGTACTATCAACGTGACCATGGTGATGATGATGATTTTTGCAATGCCTCAGTAAACAGTAAACAATACATTCTGTTTGTGGATACAAAGTATATTTGCTTGAATTGTAAGTGTAATACAGTGTAACAATTTTTAATAACCTTCATTTGAATCTTGACTTCTCTTTGGGGAAAGGCAATTCCCCTATATCTCCTACGAGTCTCCTTCTGAGAACTGGGTTCTGGATGGTGTACGTCAGCTTTGTTCAAACTTGGCAACTCTGAGATGTGTGGACTTCAACTCCCAGAATTTCCTAGTCAGCATGGCTGGCTGGGGAATTCTGGGAGTTAAAGTCCACACATCCTAAAATTGCCAAGTTTGAGAAACATTGGTGTAGATTATGGGGAAAGGGCTGGTAATGCAAGGGGGAACTATTACAAAATGTCCTTGCTTATATGAAGAGAAGAAAAATGAGGATTGGAGCAGTCATAATTACAGCATTGTGGCTGTGTATGCCATATTTACCTAAATGAGGGGTGTCAAACTCAAGACCCGGGGGCCATATCTGGCCCATGGAGTGCTTAGATCTGGCCCTGGAAACAGTGAAGGACTGGTGCCTCTGCCAGTGAAAACAGAGCTCGGGAGGGTCTCACACGGGTCCTCCTGAGCTCTGTTTTCACTTGCAGAGGGTTGCAGGAGGCCGTCGCAGCTGAAAAAGGAGCTCAGGAGCCCGTTTTCTCTGGCAGAGCACTCAGGCCACCACAGGTGCCCCTGACACGAGTGATGTCAAGCTGGCCACGCCCACCCTGGTTGCACCCACTCCAGCCCCCCTGAGGTCAAACACAACCATGATGCAGCCCTCAATGAAATTGAGTTTGACCTAGATAAAACTAGTGTGTCCTTCAGAAGAAAACAGAAAGGGCTAGTGACCGAAACAGCAGTGATTCAGTAGTATAAAGAGACTGCAGAAGGCATTGTGGATTCAGATGATTATACAGACAGTGAAAGAGGCAATTTTTCAGTGATAAGGCAGAACTACTCAATTTTAGAGAGGAAAAGACCACTTAATATTCTGCATATTTTGCACATAAAAGAGTCCACATCACTGATAATAATGAGCTTCACCCATGTGAAGAAAAGGTTGGGTTTTTTTCCTCACAACCCCAACTTTCATCTTGTTGACTGGATAGGATAGTGGCATAACTAAGCTCATTCTAAGCCATTTAAAACTCATGGAGAAGAGAGGGCTACATTGTTGATGAAAGGAATGCTTAAGGCAACACAAAGCACACAGACCAAGCATCCTGAAGCAGCACCATGTGTCATTGGCTGCTCTTCCAACCAAAAATGGGAAACTGTGTTATTGTTACTAAGGAGGGGATAGAAGAGAAGAGAGGTTGTGATAATAGCCAATAAGTCCTAGTTTGTACTCAGTGCAGTTGTCTATGGAGATTCTCAGTCAACCAGGTCATAGTTCTCCCAAGGGTGCTTTTTCAAGTGACAACTGAACTTTTTCTTTGAAAACATTTGGCTTCTCATTCAAGAAGCTTCTTGGATGAAAAGCAAAACATCTTCAAAGAAAAAGCATCTTTGGTACTCAGTTCAGGAATTCCTTTTTTCCAAAGCATCCCATTCTCTGGAAAGCCTTGTGTTTCCAACACTGCTATGGCTTATCTCAGCAAGCATCCTAGATCCTGATCCACATTTTTGCTTCCGTGCTATACTTCCCCATCCCACATCTCTCTTTGCCCTGAGAAGTCCAATGCAAAGTAGCCTGCAGTACTGCATTCTAACCACTGCACCACCAGTTTAATAAATAAATAAATAAATAAATGAACAAATGAACAAATAATGCATACATACATACATACATACATACATACATACATACATACATACATACATACTACTATCATGGCAGCAATAAGCTATGAAGAATACATTCCCATTGTCCAGCTGTCAATTTCCATGTAGTAGGAACATAGCTCAAAATAATAAATGGGTCTGAAAATATTAAATTTGTTTTCAAAGTCAAATTAATATATATAATTACTTCTCAGAATACAATGTCTTCATTAATTTATAAAAAGTTTAATAAAGTGTTAAACTGGTTGCATCTTTAACAACATGATGATTTATTAATTCCTTTTCTGTATAAAAATAATGGATAGCCCACTTTTTTTTTGTGGTAGCCATAATCTGAGATCTAATAAGGGTTTTGACTTTGAGGTTAAAATGCTTTCCTATTGTTTACACAATATGGAGGTTTCCAGTTCCTTATTCCATTCAGTCTTTAAAATTTGCATATTAAATTGATGTATTGATAACAGATATTTATGAAGAATGATTATAGGCCATTTGGTCTCATAGGATATAATAGTACTTTTTAATACCTTAAGTGTCCCTGAGGCTATAAATGCCACTAGTACATTTATTGAGACATAAATAAATGTTGTAATTGTAAATACTGCCAGTGGGTGGCAATTGACAAATGGTATTTATCTTTTAACATAGGAAATAATAACAATCATTATTATTATCCACTAGTAATTGATCTAATATAAAAATATAGCATCCAACCAGCACTTCCTAAAGCCAATTATTTAAGTCAGTTTTGAAGTTTAGATCAACCCATAGCATCAATATAGTATGAGAAAAACAATGAAAACATATTTTTTCCAGAAAGAATATTCCACCATTTTCAACCTGCTATAATAGTAACAGGAAATTCAATTAATTAAAGGTGTTATATACAGATTTCCAAGAGGGCTCAGAAAGGAGAATGTCCATTAAGTGAAGACTTCCAGAATTTGGTGCTAGGCAGAAAGTATATGGTGCAATTCAATGTTTGGAAAACCAGAACCCCATCTTTAATTGACATCTGTATCTTTTTCAGAGATGTCTTCAGAATTGAAGAACCCCATAGAGATTTACAAAACAAAAAAAAAAAACAAAAAAAAACAGCCACTAAATTATTGAAAATGTTTTCTGGGTATGTGGATGTGGCAGAGGAGTAAAGAACTTGCCCCTCCCACCCCAGCAGCTGTGCTTGACCTTCTTGGTATGGCAAATGAGGGTCTGTATGATCCTCTCAATCCAGGAATGAAACACAGTCATCCTAGATGTGGGAGACTTTGTTTCAGGCAGACAGGAAAAAGAAACATTTTAGGCAAAGCAGCTGAAAAGACAGGAGTGAAGAAGATCAAGAGTGGCTTATGTTAAGCAGGAAGAGGAGACAAGCAGTCAGTGATCCAGACATGGCTACGTGCAAACACCCAATCACCCACAGAGACTGGGCTGCTCTGGTATCAGGTGATTTGCCTGTATCCATCTCAAAACTGGTTCTCAACATTTGTGATTATGCCTATCTATGTGGAAAGGGTATATCTTTCAACTAATACTCCAAATGTTTTTATTTTCCACTTCCCCCCCCCCAGTCTAGATATAAAAGGCACACTGATATTCTGCTGCACTATCAAATTATATGTTACAATCCAACAAAAATGTAACCTTTATGGGTGAGAGTATAACTTTTTTTCACTTTGTGTGTGTGTGTGTGTGTGTGTGTATACACATACACACAAAGGGTTTACAAGCAGTAGTAGTCCAGGGTATCTTTAACTGTAGCCTTACATAGTTGTAACTACATCATTGTTATTTTTAACCATAAATATCTACATAGTTATAAAAATGCACCCAGTTTTAAAATAACTTGAAACAGCAGTAGGTCTGTGTTGTGGCTCATGGCTTCGGTTCATTTGACCTTTCAAATTCCACTCGATTCTCCCACAATGAGAAAATTATCTACTTACTTGAATGCATTATTAAAATAGTTGTTAAATTTCCACAGAATAGGAATTATGGACAGGAAACAACAGTCTCTAAGAAATCCAAGAAACACCAGTATAGATGTTACATTGCTAACACTTGCATATTGTGCAACTGGTGTGCAAAAAAGATACATTACAGTAGTATATTATGGATCTCCTGTGGCAAAACCCCAAAGGTGCTGCTTTTTCTTTTTCTCAAGAGGCAACTGGATTTTCTGATTTTTCTTTGAAGACGTTTCGCTTCTCATCCAAGAAGCTTCTTCAGCTGCTTTTTCCTTTTCCTGTGAGAAAAGTGCTCTTACATCTAAGGGGAAGAATTCCCACACTGTTTCATCCAGAAGTTACAATTCTTGAAATTCACAAGCAGGATGAAGGCAAGTCCTTGGTATTATTTTCCAAGCATTTGGAGATAGTCGGGTCCCTATAGTGGACTGGAGGCTCATTAATTTAGCTTTTTGGCATCAGAGCGCCCAGGGTCGGGTCAATTTGCATGTCGAAGTAATTTGCATCTCCGTGGGCGGGGCTTCGCGGCAGCCTTGAAAGTCTCTTCTTCCGAAGCATTTTAAAGCGGCGTCGGGAACGAAGGGGTTAAGGCCGCGACGCGCACTTTTCTATTTGCGGGGTCGGGTTGGGAGTTCGCGGCGAGGCTGCCCGTCGCACGCAGTCTTTCCCCTCGGCCGTGCTCGCCTGGCCAGCCTCATCGCGCTCCTCCTTCTCCTCCTCCTCCTCCTCCCCGAGCAGCAGGTGGCGGCGGCGGCGGCGGCAGCGACGGCAGCGGCAGGCGCAAGAGAGTTAACCCCGTGGCCGCGACTGTGAGGGGAGCAGCTAGGCAGCGGCTGCGGGAAGAGAAGAGGCAGCAGCCGGGGACGGAGGGTGCAAGCTGTGGCGGCGGCGGCGGCGGCGGCAGCGGCGGGCAGTGGGTTGCTAGGGATGGAGGGCGCCCGTGTCACCCGGATGTGAGTGTCATGTTGGCCCCAACTCGAAGAGGTTCGCAGGCGGCGGCGGCGGTGGCAGAGGGGAAGACCCAGCGGCGGCGGCGGCGGTGGTAGACCCAGCGATCCCCAGCCTTCGCCTCTTGCCAGCCCGCACCACCACCATCATGAGGAGGACCGCCGGATAGCGGGCGACCCCAGGTCAGGGAAAGGGCTGAGGCGAAGATAGGGGGACCATCCTCGCCCAACCCCGCTTCGGAACAGCAGAGGAAGGAGCGCGCCCGCGCCTCGGGGCTCCCCGAGAAAGTGACCATGCTGCCCCAACAGCTGCTGCAGCAGCAGCAATTCCCTGAAGGTAAGAGAAGCTGCCGGACCCGAGCGCTCGCTCGCTCGCTCGCTCCCTCCGCGGGAAAGCAACGAAACGCCGCCGCCGCCGCCGTGCCGGGATTAAGTGGCGGCGGCGGTTTGGGGAAAACCGGGAGTTGCAGTGGATTAAAGAAGGGGGTCGCGGGGAGGATTAAAAGCAGAGGAAGGAAGCCAAGGGATCGAGGGAGGAGGTCAGGGGTTACGGCAAGCTTCCGAGGCGAAAGCTGGGCGCGCCACAAGCGACGCTGCCCTCACAACCCGCCGCCTTCGCCTCCGAGCGCCTCGCACTGATTTGGCACGTCTGCCCCTCCCCCCCCTTTTTTTTTTGCCTCAAGGCTGCGCTGAGGATGGGAGGGCGAGGGAGGACAATCTCCCTCGGCGTTTGGTGGCGGCGGCGGCGGCCCTCGGGTCACGCTACAACATATCTATTGTCGAGAGCGCTCGGGGTGACCGGAGAGGTTCGGCGAGGTGATCTTAAGGAAAGCCAGCGCTGCCTTCCCTCCTGCCTTCTCTCCCGCTTGCCAAAGCGTCAAGGGAGAGGAGGCGCACGGGGCTCGTGTGTATTCCTCCCTTTGGCAAACAGACTCCGGGAGACGCTGCTGCTGCTGCTGCCGCCGCCGCCGCCGCCGCCTCGCCTCCCTCCCCGGCTTCCCGGAGCTGCGTGGAAATGATTCATCCTGCTTGAATTGACAGGCGCTTTGAGAAAGTGCGCGCGCGCGTGTGGCCAGAGGGCAAAAAAAAAAAAAAAAAAAAGATTGACTCCCTCGGGAGCCCACCTGCTTCACTTTCAGAGGTGCCTTGCAAAGGCGAATGGGCGGAGGGGGGGTGGGGTGTCTGCTGCCTTCTTCCCTGGCATCCTGGCCCAGAAGTAGCCAAATAAACAAACAAAATACATAAATGGAAAGTGGGGGTGGGAGGGTGGAAGAAATGATGAAACGATTTCAGGAGAAACCATTGTCGGGTGGATCTGACCGCCTTTGCTCTCCTATGGAGTGATTACAGGCCAGGAGGGCGCTCTGCTCCTTGAATAACCTGGTCTTGTTGCAGCCCTGTCTGCTCTCCACCCCCCTGGGTTGCTCTCAAGAGATCCCTGAGCGAGATTCATGATAGTTTCTTGGTCAGTAAAAGATGCCCTCTACTTCCCAGAGCTACCTTTACTCGGCTGCACATTAAGGGAGCCATCTTAAACATTCCCCCCCTCCACCCTCCCCCCCTCCGTTCTTCACCTCTCTCTGGATGTGTGCATACTTCCATATAGCTCTGGAGGGGTGGAAAGGGGAGGAACATCACCCAAAAATAATACATGGTTATTATCACTATAATATGGAAAGGAGTACAGAACTCCCTCTCTTTTGTTTTTATTATTGCACTAATAGAAAGGGAAGTGATATTTGTAAAGGAAAGCCCTTTCTATTTCTGTATGGTGTCTAATTTTCATTGGTCACCATTTGGACATAATTTCTGACAGAGGATCAAATTTGTTGTATGTCTTTCCATCAGTTTTCTCCACATGAAACCTGAAATTTAGAGCTTGTTTAGACGGTCTTCTTGTCCATTGGTGGTTTCATATATATATGAAACACTATAATTTATAACTATAAATATAACAAATTTATATTTCATTGATAAAGTAATAAAGGAACAAAGGGAGGTGTCTCGATAGAAAACTATCTATCTATCTATCTATCTATCTATCTATCTATCTATATCTATATCTATATCTATAAAGTACGAAAGCTCTCTTACATAGTTTGCCATTTCTCCTTTGTAACTTTGAGAACTCTTCTGAATTTATAATTATGTCAGTTTCATCGCTCATTTCATTATGATTGGTTTTTTTTTAGTATTTTACGTAGGATTTTTTGGAGTTAGGTAGCACTTGCAGAAGTATATAAGTATATAAGTAGAAGTATATAAGTGAAATGCCACAGAAAAGCCAAATTAAGACAGTGACTCAAGACGTTGTGGTTCGGCCATGACAACTTTTGTATGATGTGTTTATTACTTTATTTTAGTCTACATTTCTCTATATTCATTTACTATGTTTAAATGTATTTTTAATTTTGTAAATATTTCTGGAAATGCTTTGGGTGAGATGCAGCATATAATTGGTAAAAATTTTTTTAAAAGATGATATTAGTAAACTATTAGTAAGCTCAACCATAGAGATGAAATGAACAATCTCACTTTCAACATGGTCCTTAATTGTAGTACAATACAGGTACTACTCATTTACAACTGTTAACAGTGATGGAAAAATAACTTTATGACCAGTCCTCGCATTTATGACCTTTGCATTTCTGTAAAGAAAAGTTGAAGATCATAAGCACAATCACAGTTCTACTAGAGACCACTTCACTTAATGACTTAATGACTAAGTTACTGGTCCCAAATGTTGTTGCTAAACCAAGACTAGTTGTAAGCTTCTATATGGTTCTATACTCTGCATTAAAGCTTTGAAAGTCTTCCTTCTACATTTTTCTTATCTTAGCTCAGAGTTTTTATCTGGTTTTGTATTACTAACTTCAAAATGTATCTAACAGTTCAAGAATTAGTTTACTGTAACTGTTTCTATAGTGCTTTGACTAGGTAGATCAAGGCACAGTAAAAAGAAGTTCTCCACAATTACTATTGCAGACTCTTAAGTCCAGAAAATATGCACAAGAATTCAAAACACAGAAAAGTGTTTTGTGGATGTACTTCAAACCACAGGCCACAAGTGGAGGCATAACATGGATTACATATTCAAAGAATTAATCACATAGAAAACATTTACAGATTTTATTCACAAGACTCAGGATGTTTTTTTTTTAATTTCTTTTTTTTAAAATATTTTTTTTTACTTCATCAGCTTTTAACTGCTTTTATCCTGCTCGTAATTTGGCTAGAAATGAATGTGGAATAAGACAACCCTGTCTTAACCCACACAGTGCTTTGGCCATGGTGATGGCTTATATTTGATCTGGACTGTTTGTTACTACAGCCTCTGATTGATGGGTCCCCTTTTGCCTGTGGCCAGCTCCACCACTACCATGTAAAAAAACCCTCACACATTCCAGTGACAGAAAAGTACTCCGAGGATGGGCTCCAGAACAAGTCCGAAAGCTCAGGAGACTAAAATCTCTTAGATTGGATCCTAAAAGATTGGATCCAGATTGGATCCTAAAAAAATAAGTTTTACCATTTTCTTGTCACTAGTTGGATAGAAGGGGAAAGTGGCAGAAATTCACCTATTTTAAAAACAAACAAAAAGTAGTTTAAACTTGCTCTATTCCATTGATAAATGGAAGGGAGGGAGGGAGGGAGGAGCAAGTCCAGCGTTTCAGCCTTTCACCTGTGAACTTGTTAAAGAAAATGACAATGTGAGCAACAAAAACAGTGATTAAGAGTACTTCCTCACCAGGGGCCACAACAGCTGGTTGGAGAAGAAGGGTCTTGCTTTTTAAAGCATGCAAACCAGGTAGCATGGACTGAACCAGGGGTGAACTTCAAAATTTTAGCAAGGGGTTCTCTGGGTTGCTGGGTGGGTGTGGCCATGGTGGGCGTGGCCTAGTCAGCCTCCTGCATCACAGGAGGCTGCCCCCCCCTCCCAGGCTCCAGAGGCTTTCTGGCCTTCCTGAACTTCCGGTAGGCCCGTTTTTCACCCTCCCCAAGCTTCCACATGCACCCTGCACGTAACTGCATCCAAAACAGGCTGTGTGTGGATTCCTGGGAGGGGTGGGGCGGGGCCAGCCAGGAGTGGGATTTGGGGGTTCTCCAAACTGCACAGAATCTTAGCTAGAGGTTCTCCTGAAGCCCTGCAAACCCCCAGCAGCCCATCCCTGGACTGAACCAATGCAGATGTAAAGCAGTTTTTGACACAAATACTTCATGGCTGGAAGTTGCATTGAATAGGGGCAGATTGAGGATGACTCACTCTCTGGAAATGGTGGGTGGGTTGTGCTCACATTGGAGTGAACTGGACATATGATTTGTCCAGAGATTGACTCACTTTCAAATATACAGCAGCAACCTTGTTTACACAGCAACACCAAACATCTTCACTACACACACATGGAAGAACAGCTCTTTCCCCATCTGTGAGAAAATTCTGTCTTTCTATCCATCTCTCAGCTGAAAATACTCAATCTGGCATTAGTCATTAAAGTGGGGAGAGGTGCCACCAATGATAGTGGTTTGAGTGTTGAACTACAAACAGGGTGACACAGGCTCAGATCTGCACATATTTGGTACCTTTCAATATTTTTATGAATATAAAATAGAGCAGGAAAATAACTTGATTTATTAATTTTATCTTTAGGACCAGCCAATTGTCTAGAGATTCAGTAATACTGGATGTTTTACACTTCTGGAGAAGAATAAGATAACAACGTAATGAATAAAAATCATTTGTTCTTAGACTCAGGGTTGTTCAAAACAAGAATTTTAAAACTTCATATAACCCCCCTGCCCTCCCCAAATTAATGTTCCTAACTTTGGTCTTTCATTCACTCTTAAATCGTGTTTGGATGGAATCTTTTTCCAGACTCCACTACATTCAGAGTATTAATCTTAAAAATCAAGTATCACTAAGGAGGGAGGGAAGAGAAAGAAACAGATTCCTCCTTCCTTCCTTCCTTCCTTCCTTCCTTCCTTCCTTCCTTCCTTCCTTCCTTCCTTCCTTCCTTTTTACATGTCTTGTTACATACACAATAGAGTTCAGAAGACTCCTGGAAGATCATACATGAGCACTGCAATTAGGTCCATCACTATCATTGCTGCCAAGATTTTCTGCTAACTCACAATTTGTTAGTGTAAACTCTGATCCAGGAATTTTGATGGCCCCAAACTGGAAGCCATACAGGTAGTCCTCAACTTACAACAGTTCATTTAGTGACTGTTCAAAGTTACAATGGCACTGAAAAAAATTGACTCATGACTGTTTTTCACATTATGACCGTTGCAGCAACCCACGTGGTCATGTGATCAAAATTCAGATGCTTGACAACTGATTTATATTTATGACAGTTGCATTGTCCAGGGGTCATGTGATCACCTTTTGCAATCTTCTGACAAGCAAAATCAATGAGAGAAACCAGACTCATTTAACAACTCTGTTACTAATTTAACAACTGCAGTCATCCACTTGACAACTGAAGCAAGAAAGGTTGTAAAATGGGGCAAAATTCACTTAACAACTGTCTCACTTAGCAAGAGAAATTTTGGGCTCAGTTGTGGTCGTAAGTTGAGGACTACCTGTGTTTTGTTTTTGGCTTCTAAGTCTGATTTGTTAGAAGAGAAATGAGGCAATTCCTGGATCACATGTAACACACTGTGCTAACAAAGTGCAGAAATAGCTTCTTTGGTTTCTTTAGTTGCTTAACTAGCAGGAACAGCCAAGTGGGAGCTCCTTTATGATTTCATAATTCTTTGAAGGTGCCTTTGTTTTCTGCCCTGTGGTTGCCATTTTATTATAAATAGAGCAGGAAAGTGAATTATCGTACACAGGACAGTACTGCAGTGTGGATGAAATCTGTATTCCATCTCATAGTTGTATTTTCAACATCCCCCATCTGTGTTAATAATTGGCATTTTGCAATTTATGGTCACAGATTTACAAACTTAGTCACCTCAATTATTGTTTCCCCTATGTTGTTGATTCTTCTTTCACTTCGTTTTGAGTTTACCTTTCCTAAAGCCAAACTTCAAAATGCAATTTGAAGGGACAAACTCCTATCCCTTTCCTAAAGTTGAGATGTGATAGCGCGACTATGTCAGATTCTGAATTCACGTTGCATTTTGGAGGCCAGAGAAAAGACATTTAAAAAAAAAAAGAAGCAGCTAGAAACAATGCCAACCAAAGCGCATGGATTCAGACTTCTCATATTTGATATATGTAGTGGATAAGCAAGATTAGTGAATTCAGATTTCAGTGGTGGGAGGAATAGCTTAATTGAAATCAGTGGAATAAGTTGTTCACTATTAACCGTCTTAGTTTCTATGGAAGTACCATTTCATAATCAAATATATTAAAGAATATTGCAGACCATGTTTCTAGCAGAATATTTCTTGTTGGCTATTTCATTTGAGTTTCCATAGTAATAGATATATTACACATCGGAGAATATCTAATGCTTGCTCATATATTCAGAGGAAGAGAAGATCCCTTTAATGAGATGTTTTTTTAAAAAATCCCTGTTCTGAGCAGAGTGGGCTGGACTGGCTTTTTGATTCTAAAACAATGAATACTTAACACTCCAAAGAAGAAAGAAATTGGAATGTTTTCCTCCTTGCTTTTTAAAATAGATGATGTTCAGTTTCTTAAAGAGGTATCTAAATGGGAAATTTCTTAGCTTTGCAAAGCATTTGATACAGATGCCTGTGATGCTTTTTCCTCCATCTTTTAATTTCAGCAGAAAGGGTCTGTTGATTTTTGTTGTTTTTTTAAAGAAAAGGCCTCAAATTTTACCAAAACCTAAGTCTTTTCAAGAAGTTTGAAAGAACCGGATTATTTCAGAAAAACACAAATTAATTTTCTTCTTCTCTTTTGTTTTTCCACAGAAGCAAGCTATGCAAATAGCACCAGAATTCCTCTTCCTGGTGACAGCCCAGCACTCCAGCCGAACAATTCAGCACCTACCAAGCAAACGGTGCTATCTTGGCAAGCTGCAATTGATGCTGCTAGACAAGCTAAGGCTGCCCAAGGCATGAGCACCACCCCAGGTCAACCTGTAGGATCTCTGTCCCAAAGAAAGCGTCAGCAATATGCCAAGAGCAAAAAACAGGGTAATACATCTAATAGTCGGCCAGCCCGTGCTCTTTTCTGTCTATCCCTCAATAACCCACTCCGAAGAGCCTGCATTAGTATAGTAGAATGGAAGTATCCTTTCACTGGAATTTAGTTCTATCTCCTGTTCTCTGCGGACATGAAGATCATATCAGAAAGGCATACTTGGGCTCACTCTCTAGAATAGAAGGAATTCAGTACTTTTTAACGGTCGTTTAGGGCAATGTCAACCTGAGCAAAGTGCAAGTTATGATGAATAAATTGTGGTTGAAAGAAAGTCTGTTTTTTTCTTCCTTCTTGAAGATATGGGCAGGATGTTGATGAGTTCATATACTTTAGATATTTCTTTCCCAAGGCTGAGACTGGATCTGGGATCTTTTAAGGGAGATAATATGCTTGGTGATTAGGGTCTTCCTCAGTGAGGAGGTAGGGTTATAGCCAGTGGTGGGATTCAAATAATTTAACAACCGGTTCTCTGCCCTAATGATTTCTTCCAACAACCAGTTTGCCAAACTGCTCAGAAAGTTAACAACCGGTTCTCCTGAAGTGGTGTGAACTGGCTGAATCTTGCCGCTGGTTATAGCCATGAAGATGAGTGGGGTGGGAAGGTACATTTCCTATTGAAAGAACCATTGCTTTTTGACAATACAGGACATTTTTGAATTTGCCACTTTTACAGGACAACGGGACTGAGCAAGTGATAGCTGTGTAGCTTCAGCCACGTCTGATTGAAACTGATTTATTGGATCCATTTTAGTTGGATTTAGTTGGATTTCAGGCCCAAGTAGATCACAGGGACAGTGTAGTCACCTTTATGGACAATGTGTTGAGAGAGCGTGACGAGGGTAATATTTCTTTTCTTCTCATCCTGGATACTTTGGCAGCTTTTCATACTGTTGACTGTGGTATCCTTGACTGCTTTTGGGAAGTGATGGTATTATTGTACAGTTTTTATTCTGTCCCTCATGATTTTTAACATACTGCTAGGCGTGATTGCAAGAAAGTATAGGGCTGGGTGTCATGCAGGATACCTGTTTCCATTTTCCCTTTTTTTATCTTAGCTGCACTAGGTGGTGTTTCCTCTCCTTGAAGAAATAATATGCTATTTGAAGTGCTGATTTTCCTTGGCACAGTATGACAGCATCTTTTGCCAAACTGAAATCATATTGTCCTTAAAGGGTTTATTGCAGGTACTGACTGGTCAGCCTTGACTAGGAAAAGCTTTCTCAGTAATAGAACCATCAGTATGGTGTTCAAATCAAGTCTAGATTCCTCCATATATGCTTTCTTTTAAGAGTCTAAAAACTTTTTTCCCACTCATTCTTCCTTTTCTAGTAGTTTTTTTTAAAAAAATATGGCTGATTTTTTTTTTTTGATATTTTTACATTTTACATTAAACACTGGTTTGTTGGGTGTTGTAATATGTAGCTTTTATATTCTATTGTGAAGCTTTTGAAAATATTTAATTAATTTTGGATTTCTTAAGCGTTGTTTCAATCTTTATTGTTTGCTGCCATAGTAGACTTGCTGGAATGTGTGGGTTATAAATATGATAAATTATCCTTCCCTTCTTAATTAAGTTCAGCTCAATATGAGCCATTCCAAGCTAATATTTCTTATGTCCAATGAACTGGCAGTAACTCCCATTAAATAAGTGGTAATTACTTCTTAGAAGAAGTGTAAATAATACAATTTGTGCTTCTAATTTCATTTAAATTAATGCATACATTCAGTCAGTGTTGAGTTTTCAGTGGAATTTTGTGCATCTTTCGTAAAATAACAGTAACTTTTTGTTATTTAAGTGACATAGCTTTTTCTTAGATTGTTCTCCCCTAAAAACTATCACTTTGTGCATATGTAAAATTGATGTACACAAATTGGATTCGATACAAAAATTCTATAGAAGAAGGAGCATTTCCATCAGTGGAATGGAGCTTTTGGATTTAACCCAATGTACTTTATATTATAGTTGGATATTGTTTCTACTGAGACAGCATTTACTGGGCATATTTTTGGACAATTAACATTTATTTATTTACGTCATTGTATGCTGCCCAATACCATAGATTTTAGGAGGCTAATAATTTGGTCATAAAATGAATCATCTTCCCAAAAGAAACCCTCCCCTACACAAAATATACTCCTCAATATTTGGCAATTAGAATGAAAATCAGGAAATCCATATAATTTGCTACCTCTATGCTCTCTAGATTGCAAGGCTACCAGTGAATGGCTACCAGGATTATCTCAGATTGCATGAAGGTTTCTTAAAGTGATAGGAACACCCTCACTCAAAGAAGTATTGATTACTGCTCAAATCCAACTTCTTGCCACTTCATGGGAAATATTAACCAACCATGAAGAGCAGTAATCAAAATAAGAATTGATGGTAGTAATACTATAGAAAGCCCTGTCAGCTTCCTCAAGATTGGCAGGCTCAAATAATTCCAGATGGCTTCCCAGGATGAAGACACAGTCATTTCTATTGTCATTATCTAGATGGAGTCCATGTTCTCTTAAATCTGAGTGGCTTTATTGGACAAATGCCCCCAAATTCACTCAATATTTAATTAGAGATTGCAAATAGGGATGGAAGAGCAAACAATGTCATTGAATTGTGACATTATGGAAATGATCCAGTTTGTATAATTCATATTATTGGTTTTATGTCATAATCACAATCTGTGTCATTTCCATGATGATGTCACAATGCACATGACATAATTTACTTGTCCATTCCTCTTTGCAATTTTTCCAAGTATTTGAAGGTCTAACTTTAAGAATTTGAAGTCAGGTAACAATATTCATAATGGAGTGCAGTCAGCCTCTAGTTATTTTGGTGTGATTTCTTGGGATAAAGTAATAACTAGAGGTGTTTTCAAGGAGGTGTGTGGAGAAGGATGCCAAATATCAACTACATATCTATTACATCATAGGCTCACTCTAATCATTTGTAAATGTGTTATGGCGTATGATGGGGGCTCAGTTTGCATCATGTTTGCATGATGACTTCTTGGTTATTGACAAAAATGCTGAATCCTGCAGGTGCCCCTGATAGTAACTGATGTACCTTTGCATCTACTACGCTCATTCTCAGTAATGTAAAAGGTCCATAGTTTGATTTAGTATTTGGTCAAAAATGAGTGTGGGATAATGATTAGATTGTTGAACTAGGGCCAAGGAGATCCATGTTGAAGTCTACCCTGATGAGTGTGCTTTGGGTTCTTTATTCTTTCTCAGCCAAATCTACCTCATAGATTAGCTGTTGAGAGGGTGAAATGAAAGAATAGAACACAATTTCACTGTTACTGGAAGCAACCTGATGTCTGATGATTCTAAAGCATTGTCCTGTTGACTGAATCTTTGGTAGCCTGGAAAAGAGAGATTCTTGCTTTGTACTACATCTTTCCTGCTTCTTCTTTGATGGGAACTATGGGCACTTAAATCCAATAAATGTGTAGGTAACTAGGCAGGAATATAGACAACTCTGGCATGTTACTTGTATTCAAGTTCCTTTAGTACTAGTGATAACAATGGATGGACACGAAGTAGCAAAATTATTTGAAAGCATTTTATAATGGTTAAGCATTATTGATTTTATATACATATACAACTTAGATTATTTTTTAATAACTCTACTATGAAAAAATGTAATGTGAAGTAATAAGACACTGAAAGGCCCTAAGTGCTCAAAGACAATCCGACATGGGAACATAATTGCCTGTGGAAGATAGCTGTCACTTTCATCAATCACAAAACCAAACCAAATGACAGGAGCATGCCGATTTAACTTCAGAAAGACATTTCTTGTATATAATGCAAAATTAACACAAAATAGTACTATGACAAAGATTTATATGTCTTACAACTGAATGTTCCTTAACAAGATCTTTAAGACCGTTTGACATATTTATATTACTGGCTATTTTTGCCAATTGTGTGGCCTTAGCTGTTTACATCCCATTTCCAGAAGATGATTCTAATTCAACAAACCATGATTTGGTAAGTAGCATTTTTACCTTTATCTTTAAACTGTCTTTTAAATATTTAAAATGTTTTTTGAATTTGCTCAGGTGGCCCTTAAAAGTTAAAAAGGATTGTTTATTTAGTTAGGTGAAAAAAGTGAATCAACATTTAAACATTAAATATATTACTTTGATTGTAAGGTCTGATAGTCATATTCTGGTTTCTGAAACAATAAGATGCATTAGCAGGAAAATGGTAATTGGATTTATAGGTGGCTGCTGTTTAATCTTACATGCTGTTTGCTGTGTCAGTGCTCTCTGTTCTTTTACATCTGGCTGTCACATGAACTTTTGTTTCTCTATTCATTTCATTTTGATTGCTTCCTTGCTATCAATAGAAAATATTGAACATATTTTCAAGGCAGGAATAATATTCCAGAAAATAACTTACATATATAATTGCCTTCCTAACCAGATAATCAGATGTCGGTTACATTTGGAAGAATGCTGTTCCTTTAAAGGAAGTGTGTTAGCAGGAAGATATTCATATAAGTAGATGCATGTTAAAATTATAGACTTGGCTTTTGTTAGCAGAAAGTGTTTTCCAATCATGGAAGAATGGTTTCTCATTTAACAGAGAAGGCTTGAAAGAAAAACATTTTTCCAGAGATTGCATCAGTTTTGTGTACATTCATAATATTTTTGTTGAAATAAAATTAAGATAAACTAAGGAAAATATTAAAAATTAAAAAAAAATAAGTGCAAAAAGAAAGAAAGAAAAAAGGCAAGGGAAAAGGAAAAAAGGAAAATAAATAGAAGACAAAGAACAGCATGCATATAAATTCACTCTAGAAGAATTTAAGTATATTTGGGAACAATGTACATTGAGCGTATTGTCTGAGGCAATAAAAACGGGCTTAAAAAGAAGAGATAGAAGACAATGTAACGGAAAAACAGGCTGTTATAGACATAGATTTAAAATTGATAGATGATATTGACAAAAGATTATATAGAACAAGACTTACAAATGAAACAGGATGAAAATTTAATAGTTAAAAGGGATACACAAATAATAAATCAGAAGAGTGACTTGGATACATGGATTTTAAATTAGAAAATTGACTTGGACGATATTCTTACTTTGGATTTACAAAAGAGATATGTTATGCTTATAAAGGAATTCTTGAAAGGAAAAGAGAAGAAATCTGCTTTTGGAATGTTACTAAAAGGAATAATCAAGACCTTGAAAACAAAAGTTAATAAAGTTGATTTATTCTATGAAGGTTAAATTGTCTATGATCCTTTTTTTTCTTCTAAGAGCTGTTAATGACTAGGACTCAATCATAAGACTTTAATGATTTGGTAGTAGATATGAAATGGGAGGAACAGAATTGTGTTGTATTTTTAAAGAAAATAATAATTTATGGTATTAAAATTGAGGGGAGATAAAAAGAACATGCTAAATTTGTGGGATCTCATTTGAAGGGATTAAATATTAATATTTAATCTGTTGTTTCTAGTAGCTCTTAATGGATTTTTTTTGGTTAAGATTGAATGATGAATTGTTAAAGTTTTGTTTATAGGTATAAGACATAGGAAGGTTTTTCTTCTTTGTGTTTTTAGATAAAATTACATGGTATTGTGTAAAGAAAGAGAAAAAAATATTAAATTGTTTTACTGGTTTAAAGTTAATATATGTATATTGTTATTTCTGGCAGCTCTTAATGGAGTTTTGTTGATTCAGATTGAAATATGAGGCTTTATTTGCCAATAGATAAAATATGAGATATGGGATAAAGAAATTTTTGGCTGAAATAATTAGATGAAGTATTGAATTATTGAAATTTTTTGTACTTGTATTGATGAAAGAGAAAGTCATTCTTTTAGTACATTCATATAATATGCTTGCGGCTAACTATGGTTTCATTGAAATTTTGCCTAGAGTCTTCTCGACTCAAGAGTACAGTTGTGAATTATCATGGCTTGCTGGGACTTCCAGGTGGAAAATAATAGTTTCTTTTGGCTGCAGTGTGCCAGAAAAGAAACATATGTCTGGTTTTAAGTTCCTCTTTGTGGCTTAGTCCTTTGTGAAGGAACCATTGGCCCATTTTCACCTGGTAATCATGGCAGTTGAAAAACAAACTAATTATGTGTGATAACTACCATGCACAACTAAGAACAAAATGGCCATGCCTTTCAACCAACATTGATAAACTATGCCTACATAGGTGGTAGTAATCTCCACTGTTTTAAATTAGATTTGCATTGTTATTTGACATGTATCTGCAAAAGATACCCAACTTTTGAGATTTATGGTTTTATGACATATGCAGGTTTTTTTTAATATCCTGTACTAATTAAATTTCTATTGGAAATTTTTATCTCTCTATGCTGGGCTTTCAAAGCTGCAGGATTAAAGGTGTTAATTAAAATATTAAAAGCCATGTTGCACTGCTTTTGTATGTGTTTATAATATTGTGACCCTGCTTTCATTATTTGACTCCTCTTGCCCCCTCCCTGTACCTCTGTGGCTTTTCCCACTATAATTCAAACTGCTGATGTATTACAATGATCTTCCTCCTGCTTATACCTATACCATACCACGCCACACCACGCCAAGCCACACCACACCACACCACACCACACCATACCATACCATACCATACTGTACAGTACTGTGTTGGCATTTTGTTTAGTGTAGTGGTTAAGACATCAGGCTAGAAACCTTGGGCCAGTCATTTTCTCTCAGCCCTAGGAAGGACAAAAGGCAAACCATTTCTGAAAAACCTTGCCCCCAAAAAATTGCAGGTAGTGTCCCAGAACTGGACACAACTGAACAAAAGGGGGGAAAATACAACATTACCATATTATGGTAATACTATGGTAATACTCTGTGAGAAGTATTCCATTTGTGTGTGTAATCATACAGAGAATTCTAATGCTACAGAGTTATTTCATATTTCTCTTGTTTTCGATTCAGTCATGAGCCTGAGACAATGGAAATAACCATGAATATTCAGTGATCAGAAATCTGTGATGTGGCACTAATGCAAAGGCTTGTTCTAGACCAGAGGCATGTGACACAACTGTATCTATTATACCAAGAATTGTTTCTGGAAACTTAAGACGAAAAGCCTTCATTTTTGAATGCCTTCTGTGTAGTGTGATAACTTTTATGTAGAAGATAGTTGAAAACTGAAAGGATCTAAAGTAAAGCTGCAGGAGTTCAAATGATCAAACCAGCCATTTAATGGTCTGCTTGATGCCATATAGTGGTCATCCAGATTTGAGAGCTCAGAGTTGGAGAAGGAGGCACATGATTGCTACTTCAAAAATAGACATTTGAATAATCCTTAACAAGTTGATAGTCATATTTTATTGATTGTATTGCTGTTTTCTGGAGATTCTGTTGTGTCTGTTTATTTACCTAACTACCTAGCTACAGTGTAGCTGTTCTACACCTTCCTGCATCATTTAACTGTAACATTTGTGAGACAACTGTTTCATATTTTATTATGGCATAAGTCTTTGAGGACTACCAGATTTTCTTGGGATGCATAAAGTCATATGCAGGTAAATGATAATACTGAATGAGTGTAGTGAAAGCGTTCATTATGTTCACACATGCTTATGTAGTAATACATTCATGGAGCAGGGAGATTCTATTATTTGCAATGTGAACAAGTGCAGATCTCTATGGATGTTAAATACTTGCAAGAAGCATTTAAACAAAGAAGGAATTTCTGGTAGGCAGTGTTTCATTCTCATATCATAGTCTTGAGAGGTGTATATAAGGAATGTTTTAAAGCTGGCCAGTACAAAATTGTTTAGGTTTCGTTTATTGAAAATTTGTCTGTGTATATTTCTGTACAAAGAAGTCACTGTTGAAAAGCCATTTAAAACTGTTACCTGTTTTATTAGAATATACTGCATATATACAGTAATTTGGTATGTTTTATATAGATTTATTTCTTCAGGATAATACAAAAAATCCAAAGATAAAAACTTGTAGAAGAACAGTGTGTTGGATCAATTATTTGACCCAAAGGATTATTTTGTTTTTAAAACTTTAGAGCTCAGATCTCTACTTTGCTCTCAGTCCATTTAGAAGTTTATATAAATAACAAATATTCTTCTTGGTGGGAGTAGGATAGGTTATTTTATAGAACGTTTATATTTCATATGTATGTCTTCTAAGCAAAGAGTAAGGTTCTTTTTTTCTTATCTGAGGGTTTATTTCAAACACACTTTCAGTCCTTAGAGTCTTTTGTTAAATAAATTCAGAGTTACACTGTTTTCCTGGAAGCAGCAAATGTGAGTTCTTTTTGATTAGTACACATATATCTTTAACGCAGTTATGAATGCTGCATATGAATGCAGATGCAGATACTGTATATGTTTCATATTGTACCTTGGCTGTGCACATAAATCATTATCATGGGTATCAACAAGGTAGCAAGTGTGATGTGGTGAATCAAAACCTTTTTTTGTATTTATGGGACATCAACACATCAACCAAAGAGGCAGAGCTTGAATCACAATGTTGTGTCCATCATTTTGCCTATTTTGATGCCTCTCATGGCCATGATGTTTTTTCAGTGATTATTTTGAACATTAAGCTAATTTGAACAATATGCATTTTAATTGTCTTTTCAAAACAATTATTAATATAAAAAAGATGTTTTTTAAAACTATATAATTGATTGCGTCTGCAGCATTAATTGTGTATTTTTGTACAGCAAACTTGATTGACTGCAAATGAGGACGTGGAAAGCATTGTTCATGGAAGGTACAGAGAGAAAGGATTTGTACAATGTAATTGAAAAAAAAATGGTTAGAAATTGTTTTCTGCAATTTCTTTTTAGAAAAAAGGGTACAGCAATTGATCCATCCTCCCCCCCTCCCTTTCTCTCTCTGTGTATATAGTGAGTCGGTACTTAATTACTGCATACATTTACATTTTCAAATTTAATACAAAGACTGTGCCTTTAAATCTTTTAATTTAATTTAAACCCCTTTAAATTAAATCCCTTTTAA